CTGTCCTGCTGTGAGCTACAGTACGCATGCACCATGGCTGCAATTTAAAAAATTACATTTTTAAGAGTAAAGTTTAAGTTATGTTTTTTGGTTTAGGTACATACTGCTATCAAACATTAGAATAGTATATGGAAACCTAAGAAAAACTTACTCTTTCCCCAAAATTCATGTATCACATGAAAAAACAATGTTTAATTTTCATCAGAAACTCTTGTTTTTACTGAAGCTTAAATACACAGCGTAAAAATTATTATGAATACTCTAAAAGAGTTTACTGCACAAAAAATTGACTTTTTTTAGTGCATCATTGTTCACACACGACTCCGGGAAGCCAACACATCTGCGTTCATGATTTCCAAGATCCTCCAGCTTCTCCCTGAGTACCTTCAACTCCTCTGACCCCTACAAATATTCTTATCCTGTGTGTCACCACGACAAAAATAGTTTGTTGCCGCTCCAGATAAATTACTTTAATAAAAAGGGGAAATGTAAAATAAAAACAAAAAATATTTAGAGACAAAAATTGTCTCGATAAGGCAAATGATAAACAGGTTAATGGAAATCATGGGCTTGATCCTAAATGTTTAGTTATAGAAGCTAAAGCTGCATGTTGAAGAATGTTCTGTTGGCCCAAATATACTCAAAAAAAAATTAAAGGAACACTTTGTAATCAGAGTTCAAGTCAATCAACTTCAAGTTCAAGTTAATAAACTTCTAGGATATTGATTTGGTCAGGTAAGTAGCAGAAGGGGTTGTTAATCAGTTTCAGCTGCTTTGGTGTTAATGAAATTACCAACAGGTGCACTAGAGGGGCAACAACGAGACGACCATCGAAACAGGAATGGTTTTACAGGTGGAGGCCCGTTTTTTCCCGTCCTCATCTTTTCTGACTCCTTTTCACCAGTTTTGCATTTGGCTAGGGTCAATGTCACTACTGTTAGCATGAGGCGCTACCTGGACCCTACAGAGGTTGCACAGGCAGTCCAACTCCTCCAGGATGGCGCATCAATACGTGCCATTGCCTGAAGGTTTGCTGTGTCTCCCAGCACAATCTCAAGAGCATGGAGGAGATTCCAGGAGACAGGTAGTTACTCCAGGAGAGCTGGACAGGGCCGTAGAAGGTCTTCAACCCATCAGCAGGACCGGTACCTGCTGCTTTGTGCAAGGAGGAGCAGGAGGAGCACTGCCAGAGCCCTACAAAATGACCTCCAGCAGGCCACTGGTGTGAATGACCAAACAATCAGAAACAGACTTCACGAGGGTGGCCTGAGGGCCCGACATCCTCTATTGGGCCCTGTGCTCACTGCCCGGCACCGAGGAACTCGATTGGCATTTGCCACAGAACACCAGATTTGGCAAGTCTGCCACTGGCGCCCTGTGCTTTTCACAGATGAGAGCAGGTTCACCCTGAGCACATGGGACAGACGTGAAAGGGTCTGGAGAAGCCGTGGAGAACGTTATGCTGCCTGTAACATCGTTCAGCATGACCGGTTTGGTGGTGGGTCAGTGATGGTCTGGGGAGGCTTATCAATGGAGGGACGCACAGACCTATACAGGCTAGACAACGGCACCCTGACTGCCATTAGTGTCATGGTCCTGGCACTGGTGGCTTGATTGCTTATTACACCCACCTGTTTAGCTCTGTCTGTTCTCTCATCATTGCTTATCCCATCCACCTGGTTCCAGCTCCTATATATACTGTTTGTTTTCAAGCTTCCAGTGCCAGATTAACTGTTTTGGTGAGAGTAACTCTAGCGTTTAGACTATTATTCTGCTTATTCTGTTTGTGACCTGTTTCTGTCTTGTGGATCCCGAGTTTTGCTTCGCCCCTGTCTGCTCTATTAGTCTGATCGGCTCTGGACTGTTTATTGGATGCAACTGGCTTACCGAACCTGGACTGTTTTCCTGACCACTGCTTGGATTCCCTCATTGGTACCTCATCGGCTCTCTGATCATCTGGTAAACGAACTTGGTTCTGGTTCGACTTCGGCTTGGATCTCCCTTTCTGGAAACACCTGCTCCTCGGCGTCGTTGGGCATCAGCGCCGCACCCGCTGCCAGCGGAGGACAATCACCTTTGCGGATTCCTCTCCACCCTCTGGGATCGAACTCTGAACCAGGTCAGTGACTATAGCTCTTAGCTGTTACCAGCCATCCATTCTTAGTCACTGACCTGAGTTTCTGTTTCCACAGAGGATCCGTGTAATCCGCCCCAGCTGACGCGCCGTCACACGCTGCTTTTTAATAAAGACTGTTGTAACTCTTCCAGCTCTGTCTGTTGAATATTGGGTCCAAGGTTTAGAGCCTCTGACAATTAGGTATCGGGATGAAATCCTTGCACCCATCGTCAGACCCTATGCTGGTGCAGTGGGTCCTGGGTTCCTCCTGGTGCACAACAATGGCCGGCCTCATGTGGCGAGAGTATGCAGGCAGTTCCTGGAGGATGAATGAATTGAAACCATTGATCGACCCCCACGCTCTCCTGACCTAAATCCAATAGAACACCTCCTGGACATTATGTTTCCATCCATCCGACGCCGCCAGGTTGCACCTCAGACGGTCCAGGAGCTCAGTGATGCCCTGGTCCAGATCTGGGAGGAGATGCCCCAGGACGCCATCCGTCGTCTCATTAGGAGCATACCCTGATGTTGTCAGGCATGCATACACGCACATGGGGTCTACAAATGACTGAATTCCATTTTGAGTTGCTGCAATGAAATTTCAGCGAAATGGCCTGCCGCATCATTTTTTCACTGTCATTTTTGGGGTGTCTATGTAGGTTGATCATTTTCATTTCCATCAAATGATGTGGCATCCTTTTGTTCCTATTACAGTCCATATCAGTATAAATAAACAGCATGATCATTGAGATCTGATGTGTTTTCAAAGTGTTCCCTTAATTTTTTTGAGCAGTGTAACTTCAGATTCTTTCTGTTCTGCGGGAGGAAGCCGTGGCACAGTGATTTTTTTGTACCCCTATGCTCAGTGCTTTGATTGTTTGAAAGTGCAATTTAGAAATTCTAATGTATGTCACTATCATTCTTGTCAGCAAGTGGGCTGAGGTTGCTTGAGGACCAAATGCAGAGATAAGTAAGGCAGAGATGAGTTCTTGTAGGTAATGAAAACTGAGGCAGAGATGCAAGAATCCAAAATACAAAAAACCAAAAAAAAAAAAAAAGAAAACATCAAGGAAAACTCACATGGGGGCCAAGAGATGAGGAAGCAACTAACAACAAGGAACCAGCACTGAGTGACTGCAGAGGTGGAATATCTAAGGGGAACAGAACAGAGGATGGGCTAATGAACTGAATATGGAGAGGGTGTGAGTTGAACTAACTAGAAGGAAGTGAAGGGGAAAGGAAACAAACACAAGGGGGCAACAGAGATTACTAAAGAGGCTGATACCGATACCATTTCATTAAAATGTATGTGTGTGTGTGTATATATGAAGAACTGCATCCTACTTGAATGTAGAATAATTGCCATCATGGCTTTGTCAAGCTGCTGCCTACCTTTGTGAAGCAGGAAAAAGACTAATGCAAAGTGAATCCAGTAGAACTTTTTGTTGCCTACCTGGAATGGGTGACAATAGTTTAATAAACTTTTAGCTGTCAAAATGGTATTGGTGCCATATTTATTGGTACTCGCCGAATGTGATACCACCACTGTAGTGCTGGATCCAGGCCCCGTCTGATACTGGTATCGGTATCGGCATAACACTATTTGCAGGTCATTTGGACCACCACACTTAAATATGAGTAAAACAATCAAAATAAACATGTGTCTTTGATGTACTTCATTTTGATTTCCCCATTATTTCTATCCTTGTTGTGCTTTTATACATTCAGATGCAGGTGTCTGTAAATGTGTATATATTTTGCAATTAATTAATTGATAGACACAATGTTTTATATTAAAATGCAATGATATTATTGTCAGGGTTCTGCCCTCTGCTTTAGTTTATTTTTAGCTTCTTGTTTATTCTGTATTTTTGTAGATGTTTTTTTCAGTCTGGTATTTCTCCAGTTACTCTCTGCTGCCCCCTTGTGCCTGTTCCTTGGTTCCCCCCTAGTTTAGTTCTATTCACACCTGCTCCATATCAACTCATTAGCCCATACTTTCTTCTGTTTCCCATATATACAACATCTCTGCAGTTCCTGGTTTCTTGTTGTTGTTTAGCTGCTTCCTTGTTGCCTGCTTCCCCGCAAATATTTTCCCTGACCTTTATTGGATTTTGTCTTGCATTTTTCTGGATTTTTGCCTTAGTTGGCTGTAGACCTTAAATAACTCTTATTAGGCCTTTTTTCTCCTTATTTGGGTCCTCAAAGCCTCCACCCAACCTGACAATTATATTGCACAAATTGTATTTACAATTACATATTTCAATTGTATATTATTATTTAGTATTTTAAAAGATTGTACTGTGATAATGAATATCCTGATAATATTATGATATAATTTGCAATGTCATTCACCAACTACAGCACATTTATTATTTGGTATTTCTATTCATTTCAGTTTCTTTGTTATTGTCATGATTTTTTGTTAGATCAAAGTGAAGGGTACATTTTTGTGCTGTCTTTGTCCTGATAAGTTTAGCTTCTTAGAAAACTCTTGTAAATTATAAGTCTTTCATTATTTTTTAAGCCAAATGTGAATATTTGTTTTCTAATTTCAGTTAATGTGTGTTATATGCATATTACATGACATGTTGGTAAGCCAAAAATGAACAAGGCAATCAGCTGGTGTTCCTAAGATAGAAAACTTTTAATCAATGTGACTTGATGATCTGGTGAACTGGAAAGTGCCTTGAGATGACATGATGTGAATTGAAGCTATAGATATAAACTTAATAGAATAGAATGACTAATTCATTTATTGTTGATGTTTCCCCAGACATGTGAGGCTCGCGGTTAGCCCCGCCCTCTCTTTGTTTGTTTGCAGGGAATTCCACGTGAGGTATCTTACGTAAAGTTGCTTTTGACCAATCCTGTTAAACAGGAAGCCAGCGGAAGTTTCAGTCTATTGGTTTCCTCTTCAATGCTGGGTTGGACATCTCTTCCAGAGCAACACAGCGGAGCTTAGAGCATCTCTGCATCGGCCTATCTGGCTAAAAACTGGGAAATGAAGCAGAACTCCAACGTCCCGGCCTTCCTGACCAAGCTCTGGACCCTGGTGGAAGATGCAGACACAAATGAGTTTATTTGCTGGAGCCAGGTAAGCGTGGGCTGTTAGCATGGTGCGCTAACCCCTGGCTGTGGGTGGGTGGGTGGTCATGGGGGGCTGTGGCTCAGCAGCTTTCTACTGATTGAGCTACTTGAGATGTACTGCTTAGATCCTGACTTCCAATTCAGGGGCTGCGTCCTCCGAGCATAGGAGGAGACCCCGCACGGACTGTCGCGGCGAAGGAAATACGGGCGCCATCTTGGGGAGGTCGACCTGCTCCCCTAGCCTGCTGCTTTAGGCAGAGCAGAATAAATATTCCTCAGCACTGCATACACTACCTAGAATAGAAAACATTGCTGAACAAACAGCAGATATACACTACCTAGAATAGAAAACATTGCTGAACAAACAGCAGATATACACTACCTAGAATAGAAGACATTGCTGAATAAACAGCAGATATACACTACCTAGAATAGAAAACATTGCTGAATAAACTGCAGATATACACTACCTAGAATAGAAAACATTACTGAATAAACTGCAGATATACACTACCTAGAATAGAAAACATTACTGAATAAACTGCAGATATACACTACCTAGAATAGAAGGCATTGCTGAATAAACAGCAGATATACACTACCTAGAATAGAAGGCATTGCTGAATAAACTGCAGATATACACTACCTAGAATAGAAGGCATTGCTGAATAAACAGCAGATATACACTACCTAGAATAGAAAACATTGCTGAATAAACTGCAGATATACACTACCTAGAATAGAAAACATTACTGAATAAACTGCAGATATACACTACCTAGAATAGAAGGCATTGCTGAATAAACTGCAGATATACACTACCTAGAATAGAAGGCATTGCTGAATAAACAGCAGATATACACTACCTAGAATAGAAAACATTACTGAATAAACTGCAGATATACACTACCTAGAATAGAAAACATTACTGAATAAACTGCAGATATACACTACCTAGAATAGAAAACATTGCTGAATAAACTGCAGATATACACTACCTAGAATAGATAACATTGCTGAATAAACTGCAGATATACACTACCTAGAATAGAAAACATTACTGAATAAACTGCAGATATACACTACCTAGAATAGAAAACATTACTGAATAAACTGCAGATATACACTACCTAGAATAGAAGGCATTGCTGAATAAACAGCAGATATACACTACCTAGAATAGAAGGCATTGCTGAATAAACTGCAGATATACACTACCTAGAATAGAAGGCATTGCTGAATAAACAGCAGATATACACTACCTAGAATAGAAAACATTGCTGAATAAACTGCAGATATACACTACCTAGAATAGAAAACATTACTGAATAAACTGCAGATATACACTACCTAGAATAGAAGGCATTGCTGAATAAACTGCAGATATACACTACCTAGAATAGAAGGCATTGCTGAATAAACAGCAGATATACACTACCTAGAATAGAAAACATTACTGAATAAACTGCAGATATACACTACCTAGAATAGAAAACATTGCTGAATAAACTGCAGATATACACTACCTAGAATAGAAAACATTACTGAATAAACTGCAGATATACACTACCTAGAATAGAAAACATTACTGAATAAACTGCAGATATACACTACCTAGAATAGAAGGCATTGCTGAATAAACAGCAGATATACACTACCTAGAATAGAAGGCATTGCTGAATAAACTGCAGATATACACTACCTAGAATAGAAGGCATTGCTGAATAAACAGCAGATATACACTACCTAGAATAGAAAACATTGCTGAATAAACTGCAGATATACACTACCTAGAATAGAAAACATTACTGAATAAACTGCAGATATACACTACCTAGAATAGAAAACATTACTGAATAAACTGCAGATATACACTACCTAGAATAGAAAACATTACTGAATAAACTGCAGATATACACTACCTAGAATAGAAAACATTACTGAATAAACTGCAGATATACACTACCTAGAATAGAAGACATTGCTGAATAAACTGCGGATATAGACTACCTAGAATAGAAAACATTACTGAATAAACTGCAGATATACACTACCTAGAATAGAAGACATTGCTGAATAAACTGCAGATATAGACTACCTAGAATAGAAAACATTACTGAATAAACTGCAGATATACACTACCTAGAATAGAAAACATTACTGAATAAACTGCAGATATACACTACCTAGAATAGAAAACATTACTGAATAAACTGCAGATATACACTACCTAGAATAGAAAACATTGCTGAACAAACAGCAGATATACACTACCTAGAATAGAAGACATTGCTGAATAAACAGCAGATATACACTACCTAGAATAGAAAACATTGCTGAATAAACTGCAGATATACACTACCTAGAATAGAAAACATTACTGAATAAACTGCAGATATACACTACCTAGAATAGAAAACATTACTGAATAAACTGCAGATATACACTACCTAGAATAGAAGGCATTGCTGAATAAACTGCAGATATACACTACCTAGAATAGAAGGCATTGCTGAATAAACAGCAGATATACACTACCTAGAATAGAAAACATTGCTGAATAAACTGCAGATATACACTACCTAGAATAGAAAACATTACTGAATAAACTGCAGATATACACTACCTAGAATAGAAGGCATTGCTGAATAAACTGCAGATATACACTACCTAGAATAGAAGGCATTGCTGAATAAACAGCAGATATACACTACCTAGAATAGAAAACATTACTGAATAAACTGCAGATATACACTACCTAGAATAGAAAACATTACTGAATAAACTGCAGATATACACTACCTAGAATAGAAAACATTGCTGAATAAACTGCAGATATACACTACCTAGAATAGAAAACATTGCTGAATAAACTGCAGATATACACTACCTAGAATAGAAAACATTACTGAATAAACTGCAGATATACACTACCTAGAATAGAAAACATTGCTGAATAAACTGCAGATATACACTACCTAGAATAGAAGGCATTGCTGAATAAACAGCAGATATACACTACCTAGAATAGAAGGCATTGCTGAATAAACTGCAGATATACACTACCTAGAATAGAAAACATTGCTGAATAAACTGCAGATATACACTACCTAGAATAGAAAACATTACTGAATAAACTGCAGATATACACTACCTAGAATAGAAAACATTACTGAATAAACTGCAGATATACACTACCTAGAATAGAAAACATTACTGAATAAACTGCAGATATACACTACCTAGAATAGAAGACATTGCTGAATAAACTGCAGATATAGTCTACCTAGAATAGAAAACATTACTGAATAAACTGCAGATATAGACTACCTAGAATAGAAACTCCCTTTGTTGTCCCACAATGGGTAAATTGTGGAGTTACATCAGCTAAAGATTACAGCTAAAGTGGTCACTCAGATGTGATCTTAAAAAGTTTATAAATAATAGAATAAGTGACAGAGTAAAAAAAAAAAAAATCCAATTTTATTTGTTAAGCGCTTAAAAACAACCACAGCTGACCAAAGTGCTTTAAAGAAGTAAAAACAAATAAAACACAAAACAGCTGCATTATCATAAAATATGAAATATAAATAATATAAAAAATAAACAAATATAATGAATGTGTTTATAGAGAACAATAATACAGATGAGCCAAAAGCGCTAAATTGATGATGGACATGTAATATACATGTATTGATGACGTCTTTAGGGTAATTACATATTATATATAATTTCAAGATTTTACATCAACACTGGATTACAAGAACATTTCTGTTAATGCTGTAGTATTTTCCTATTTGCAAATTGTATTGTGCATGCATGATGCCATATACTTTAATACTGTGTCTGTGCATTAGCCTTTAAAATGTTTGAGTTGCTTTTTTTGTCAATATAACATACTGTCAGGATTTGGTTTAATGTTTCTTAATTGGACCCAAAAGCAGAAGCTGGGAGGCAGAGGTGAATTCTTGGACGCTTTATTGCAAGATCATTAACAAAAACAGGAATCCAAAAATCCAACTTAAAAAAGTTAAACAAAAACAGGAATCCAAAAATCCAACATAAAAATCAAACACTAACCAGAACCATGGAGACATCAGGGAAAAACCAACAAGGAGCCAGGGTGAGGAAAGGTAAGACGAGGAACCAGCAAAGAGGGACTGCAGAGGGAGTGTATTTATGGCTGACTGAACAAAGGTAGAGCTAATGAGCTGATAGGGAACAGGTGTGATTAGAGCTGACGAGGAAGCCAAGGGAAAAGAACACAAGGAGGCAGCAGGGGACAGACAGAAAAACCTAAGCAACTTAAATGAATCCAGACACACCAAAAAAGCTAGAAATCAATGAAAAACCTGGCTAAACTTGAAACAGAAAACTTAAAGAAAAACAACAGAACCAAGATCATTACAGAGCCCCCCACTTAAGGGCGGATTCCAGACGCCCCTTTAATGTCCAAAAAACAAAAAACAACCCAGGGTGGGCGGAGGGGGAACCAGGAAGGAGGGCAAGAAGCCAAAAACAGTCCAAGAAACAAAACGCAACCCATCCAGAGTGGGCGAGGACAATCGAAAGTCTCTGAAAGGCCGGCTGCGGGGCCAGAGGCAAGGCAGAGTCTCTGGAGGGCGGCCGCGGGGCCGGAGGCGAGGCAGAGTCTCTGGAGGGCTGCCGCGGGGCCGGAGGCGAGGCAGAGTCTCTGGAGGCCGGAGCTGAGAGAGACGCTCTGGAGGCCGGCGTCTCCAATGCAGCAGAAACCTAGGAGGAGGACGCCGCCTCCGCAGGATGCGCCGAGGAGGACGCCGCCTCCGCTTCAGCAGGATGCGCCGAGGAGGACGCCGCCTCCGCTTCTGTTGCTCTGCAACAGGCTCAGAGGGAGCCGTCGACTGCGGCTCTGGAACAGCCTCGGAAGGGGCCGCCCACTGCGGCTCAGGAACAGGATCAGACTGGGCCGCCCACTGCGGCTCAGGAACAGGTTCAGACTGGGCCGCCCACTGCGGCTCAGGAACAGGTTCAGACTGGGCCGCCCACTGCGGCTCAGGAACAGGTTCAGACTGGGCCGCCCACTGCGGCTCAGGAACAGGTTCAGACGAGGCCGCCCACTGCGGCTCAGGAACAGGTTCAGACGAGGCCGCCCACTGCGGCTCAGGAACAGCATCAGAGGTGGCCGCCCACTGCGGCTCAGGAACAGGATCAGACGAGGCCGCCCACTGCGGCTCAGGAACAGGATCAGACGAGGCCGCCCACTGCGGCTCAGGAACAGGATCAGACGAGGCCGCCCACTGCGGCTCAGGAACAGGATGAGACGAGGCCGCCCACTGCGGCTCAGGAACAGGATGAGACGAGGCCGCCCACTGCGGCTCAGGAACAGGATCAGACGAGGCCGCCCACTGCGGCTCAGGAACAGCCTCAGAGGTGGCCGCCGACTGCCAATTGCCGCTCCACCTCAGGAACAGGGGAGCCCGCCGATTGCCGCTCCACCTCAGGAACAGGGGAGCCCGCCAATTGCCGCTCCACCTCAGGAACAGGGGAGCCCGCTGATTGCGGCCCCACCTCAGGAACAGGGGAGCCCGCCGATTGCGGCCCCACCTCAGGAACAGGGGAGCCCGCCGATTGCGGCCCCACCTCAGGAACAGGGGAGCCCGCCGATTGCGGCTCACCCTCAGGAACAGGGGAGCCCGCCGATTGCGGCTCACCCTCAGGAACAGGGGAGCCCGCCGATTGCGGCTCCGCCTCAGGAACAGGGGAGACCAACGACTGTGGCTCCACATCCAGCATGGGGGAAACCACCCATGGCCCCAAAGGTTTAGTCTCTGAAGTGGCTTGAAGTGCCCGCAGAGGGCTCTGGGTGGCTTGGGGCGCCTGCAGAGAGGTCCTAGGAGGCGTAAAGCCACATACCTCAAATTCAGACACCTCCTTTAAGTTCTGCTCAGGGGTCTTTGGACGGCACAGAGCTAACTCAGGGGTCTCTAAACGGTACAGAGCTGACTCAGGGGTTTCTAAAAGGCACAGAGCTGACTCAAGACGGCTCAGGGCTGGCTCAGGGGTCTCAGGCGCTAGGCTAAACGGCCCCCTAATGGGCTCAGGAGTCTCTGGCGCTAGGCTAAACGGCCCGCTAATGGGCTCAGGAGTCTCTGGCGCTAGGCTAAACGGCCCGCTAATGGGCTCAGGAGTCGGGGAAACTGGCCCTCTACTGGGCTCTGGAGCTGGGGAAACTGGCCCTCTACTGGGCTCTGGAGCTGGGGAAACTGGCCCTCTACTGGGCTCTGGAGCTGGGGAAACTGGCCCTCTACTGGGCTCTGGAGCTGGGGAAACTGGCCCTCTACTGGGCTCTGGAGCTGGGGAAACTGGCCCTCTACTGGGCTCTGGAGCTGGGGAAACTGGCCCTCTACTGGGCTCTGGAGCTGGGGAAACTGGCCCTCTACTGGGCTCTGGAGCTGGGGAAACTGGCCCTCCACTGGGCTCTGGAGCTGGGGAAACTTGCCCTCTACTGGGCTCTGGAGCTGGGGAAACTGGCCCTCCACTGGGCTCTGGAGCTGGGGAAACTGGCCCTCTAAAGGGCTTGGGATGTGCTGGCTGACAGGGAACCGATGGAGGTGGAAGGAAAGGGAATAGATCCTCCCTTTGCCCATAAAAGTAGTCCCATAACTTTGACTCCTCAATATGTGGTGCTCTGACTGCAGTGGGTGTTATCATGGTGACTGAATTTAAACCTCTAACTCGAGGAGCTAACTGCTGGTCATGGAGGTGACGGCGAAGGCCATAGGGGAAACTGACCTGAAGAAGAGTGGGATTGAAGCAGGCGTCAGGCCGACCCGCCGGAGAGGGAGTGGAGACGTCAGGCTGACCCGCCGGAGAGGGATTGGAGGCGTCAGGCTGACCCGCCGGAGAGGGAGTGGAGGCGTCAGGCTGACCCGCCGGAGAGGGAGTGGAGGCGTCAGGCTGACCCGCCGGAGAGGGAGTGGAGGCGTCAGGCTGACCCGCCGGAGAGGGAGTGGAGGCGTCAGGCTGATCCGCCGGAGAGGTGGTTGTCTTCCTCCTCCGGCGGCGTTGCTTATGCCTGGAGGAAGCAGATGGCAGGGGAGGACCAACAGCTGGTAATGGTGGGGGAACAGGATCGGAGGTAAGAGACAGCAGAATGGGAAGGTGATGGAATGATGGTTTGGGTGGTGGAGGTCTATTGCAGAGTTGGGCGAAGGCGGCTTGGCAGTTCCACTCCAACTCCTCGAATAGCTCAGACAAAACTGGGGGTGATAGAAGTGAGGAGTTAGAGAGGAAGATCGGCTTTAATTGGTCAGCCGCACTCACCCTCTTCCAAGGTGGACTGAGAGTAGATATGGAGTCCAGAGCATTCACAAGAGTGAGAGAGATTCTCCTCAGAGCGTCCGTGCCGAGTTCTGCTGGGTCCATGCTTGGCTGGTTCCTTCTGTCAGGATTTGGTTTAATGTTTCTTAATTGGACCCAAAAGCAGAAGCTGGGAGGCAGAGGTGAATTCTTGGACGCTTTATTGCAAGATCAGGCAACAAAAACAGGAATCCAAAAATCCAACTTAAAAAAGTTAAACAAAAACAGGAATCCAAAAATCCAACATAAAAATCAAACACTAACCAGAACCATGGAGACATCAGGGAAAAACCAACAAGGAGCCAGGGTGAGGAAAGGTAAGACGAGGAACCAGCAAAGAGGGACTGCAGAGGGAGTGTATTTATGGCTGACTGAACAAAGGTAGAGCTAATGAGCTGATAGGGAACAGGTGTGATTAGAGCTGACGAGGAAGCCAAGGGAAAAGAACACAAGGAGGCAGCAGGGGACAGACAGAAAAACCTAAGCAACTTAAATGAATCCAGACACACCAAAAAAGCTAGAAATCAATGAAAAACCTGGCTAAACTTGAAACAGAAAACTTAAAGAAAAACAACAGAACCAAGATCATTACAACATACAATATATTTCAGCACATGCCTTTTTCAAATGAGAAATGTAACAAACACTTAAAAAACGACAGCATCATCTGCTTAATAAAGAATTACTTTGACAGTGAATTACTTTCTATTTACTCTATTTTCTAACGTTAGACCCAATGTCAATGGCTAACTCAGTCAATGTCTTCCAGTCAGTCTGAGATAGCCAGACTAATGTTAGTCTACATACTACACTATAGGATCCATCGGCGTATAGATGGATTTATTGCTTAGTTCGTCCACTGACGGTGAAATCAGCTGTGGAATGTCTTCCAGCAGACAGAAAACTGCTGGTTTTTGCAGCCAAATGCTGAACATGGAGGCATTTTTATGACGCTTTCCATGGGACAGGTGCCATAAAACCGTGTGCCAATATGGCAGCCAGTGGCTTAACTTTTTTCGGGGCATCAGTCGTGTCTCACCATCAATATTTTATTTCTTCCAGCTTACAAGAGGTGATACTAAACATTATTTCATTTTTAACAAAAGGAATCCCTAAATTATATCCAAAGCAAATAATTTAATTGCATTCTATTTATTTCTGGATTAAGAGCCCGATAAAAAGGTGCATAGATCTTTGAATATTTCTCTCTCATTGTTCTCGTTTTGATATATTTAAATAGGATGTAAATGTTTCCTTGTATTGTCATTAAAACATTTTCTCAGCTTCCTGTAAATAATTCACCATTGTAGTTAGCATATTCCTTCACTTTAGGTCTGGGTTGCCATGGCATTACAAGGCAATTATGGAGGTTTTCTATGTTTTTTGTTTTATTTTAAACCAAGTGAATTTAAATCCCCTTTGACCCCTGAGCAGCACTAACTGGAGCTAGATCAAGCCAGAGTTGAGGATTTGAGTCTGGGTTTGTTAAACCTACTTATTGAAACGGGCATCTGGCTCTTCTGACTTTTGCGTCGTCTGTTTTCAGGAAGGCAACAGCTTCCTGGTGTTGGATGAACAGCGCTTCGCCAAGGAGATTCTCCCCAAGTTCTTCAAGCATAACAACATGGCCAGTTTCATCAGGCAGCTGAATATGTGTAAGACTTTCAGCCACATAGAAAAGGCGCCTCTCATCCACTGCTCCTCTGGTGCTGAACTGAATCATGCATCATCATAATTAGAGCCCGACCGATTTGAGATTTTGAAGACCAGTATCGACATTGGGGGCTTTTAAAAAACTATGTCCAACATATTGGCAGATATCCGCTTTATATCAGCCAGAATATAAAAAAATGAACATGACATAAAGCTGAAGCCTTTTAACACTAGGACTCCCAGAATGCTGATGCTACTAGAACTCCTACTGGCAGTCAGTTAAAAGAATGGCATTTTTCCTAATGGACTGCAAGAGTACTGTCATCATACTGGACAGAATTACTAGACGCAGCCAAAAGTGTTGAGGGGATCATTTTGGTGGCCTTAGCATTGCATCTCGGTTATTTGCAGATGATGTGGTTCTGTTGGCTTCATTAGGACGTGATCTGCAGCTCTCACTGGAGCGGTTCACAGCCGACTGTGAAGCGGCCAGGATGAGGATCAGGGCCTCCAAATCCGAGATCATCTTGAGCCGGAACAGTTTAGAGTGCCTTCTCCGGGTTTGGGAGGATGTGCTGCCCCTAGTGGAGGAGTTTAAGTATCTTAGGGTCTTGTTCACGAATGAGAGGAAGATGGAGCAGGAGATCGATAGGCGGATTGCGCGGCGAAGCGTGAGCTGTAACGGTCTATTGTGGTGAACAGAGAGCTGAGCCAAAAAGCAAAGCTCTCCATTTACATGTCGATCTACGTTCCTACCCTCATCTATGGTCATGAGCTTTGGGTCATGACCAAAACAACGAGATCCCTGATCCAAGCGGCTGAATTTAGTTTTCTCCCTAGTGTGTCTGGACTCTCCCTTAGAGATAGGATGAGGAGCTCAGTCATCCAGGGAGAGTAGAGCCGCTGCTCCTCCATATCGAGAAAAGCCAGTTGAGGTGGCTCCAGCATCTGGTTAGGATGCCTCCTGGACGACTCCCTGCTGAGGTCTTCCAGGTACATCCCACCGTGGGGAGGCCCAGGACACGCTGGAGGGACTATGTTTCTCTGCTGGCCTGGAAACACCTTGGTATTCTCCTGGAGGAGCTGGACTAAGTGGCTGTGGAGAGGGAGGTCTGGGCCTCCCTACTGAACCTGCTACCCACACGACCCGACCCCGGATAAGAGGAGGATGGATGGATGGATGGATGGATGGATTGATGGATGGATGGATTGATTGATTGATTTCATTTAATCCTTGCCAAGCCCCTGCACCACAGTACGACACTGCTTTGATTTATGCTCTGGTCCATTCTATGCAGATGGATTCCGGAAAGTTCTGCACATCGACACAGGCCTGGTAAAGCAGGAAAGAGATGGACCCGTAGAGTTTCAGCACCCATACTTCAAGCATGGGCAGGACGATTTGCTGGAAAATATTAAGAGAAAGGTGAGTCTGTCTGGATAAGATACCAGCCTGTCTCTGTATGGAGTTATAATGTTCTCCCTTTCATTCCTGTGTTTATTGTGGGTATGAGGAGGAATTACCAATTTAGTGTCCGATCCCACAGAAAATGGTGTGGGACGAGGTGGTGGCGTTTAGCGCTCACTGAGAGCTGATGGGGATGATCACACCTGACAGGGTTTCCTCCAGGAGGCTTGGTTAGCTCTGACTGAGATAGAGTCCAGGTCGATTGTAGTCAGACTATGCAGCCATTCAGCAGCAATTCCCTGGGTCTGACAGGAAGAGAGACGCCGTTACAAAGTGTTGTGATTCTATACTTAAATTCTATTCCCAGCCCGCTGGGAATTTATGTTTCTGATACTTTAAGATGTTTATTGCCCTCCCCTGTAGGGGTGGTAAAATATCTTATTTAATCAGATATTATTTCAGCTGTTATATACTGTTTATGACACACAGTCCTACTAACTGTGTGTTAGAACAATAGATGAAATAGTGATTCGAGCACTAATCATGGTCAAACAGTTATTTCTGCACATACATGGAATAAATTCACCACCACTTCTGTTCAAAATATAAGATTTTATTAACAAAAATCATTCAGCTCCAAGTCAAACGTATTTCAGTTTAACACTCTCAACTAAGACTAGTAAAACTCAACTAAACTAAACTAACTACTATGTACAAAGAGGAAGGGGAAAACGGTTGAAAAACATATTACAGTTTAAGATGGATTCTGTGTTTGAAACCAAAGTTTATCTGGAATAATTTGGAATGTGATCAAATTAGCTTTTCACTAATTTTAAAGAAATTGGAATGTTTTCAGACCAATTGACAATGCAAATCCATGAGGTGAATAAAACATTATTTGGCCAAATAATGTTTTATTAAAGGATTTGCTTAATCAAGAACCAAAAACCTTTAGTTAAATGATTCTTTACCCTCTTTGAAATAGCTAGCAGTGAATAGACATCAGGCTACCACTAAATGACTCTTGGTCAGACTTGGTAATGGAAATGTAATGAGCATTTGAGGAACGCATGAACACTAATGTTCTATCAGTGTTTAAATCCTTAGTGAATAAAGCTTGTCTAAGCTTTAGCAACAGCTCAACACATATTCTTGTAGCATAGCGTAGCATGCAGTCCATTCTTTAGCATCAATTAGCATTGTCTTTACTCGGCAGTAAACACACGATATGATTAGCATCATCAAAAGACACATTGCTTGTTCTGTCCCTAATCATGCCAGACCTGCAAACCTTTTTCCATGTCCGTTTGGAAAGCTTGAGTTTCATCCAGTTTTGCAGCTCTGCAGTCAGGGGTTCTTTGTCTCAGTCTCACAGCAGGGGTCCCCTCAGTCTCAAACCCAGGGCATGGTCTTCATCCAGTTTGGCTCTGTAAGTTCTGAAACTCAAGAGAAATGTGTTGCAAAAGTTCTGTTTGCAGCAGTTAGGTTCTGAAGAGTTCTGACTCATCCTTGATGGTTCTGGGGATCTGGTTTCCCTGGGGCCTGCATCTCCACTGTGGGCCACAGTGGGCCCCAGCTTTGAGCGCAGGAGCAGAAGCAGGCTGGATCAGACGAGGGAGAAAAAGTGAAGAGAGAAGAGGAAGAATCCTGTGTGCTCTGTGGTTTTGTTCTGCCCTCACAGAGGGGGGTAGGTTTTCACACCTCTGTGACTTCCATGTGACTGCTTTGGCTGAAAAAGGGGGGCTGCTGAAGTCCCCCAGCTGTTATTCACCAAAGCTGCGTTTTCTTCTCTGGTCATCCTATCAGGATGAAATATGGACACTGGTTCCCACTGTCCAAAAAGTATGATCATGGCAAATGGCATAACATTCCCCCTTTTTGATCTGGAAATAAAAGATGCAGTTCTTTGTTTTCAGATCAACAAATAAGTCCATAAAGCCATGATATCTGGAGCGGTGATGAGTCAGGTTCCTGTTGGCAGGAAGAAAGTTCATTTAGGGTTCATATCTTCTCCAGTGTTTGTCCCTGGAGGATTTGTTGCAGGTCTGGCAGAAGCTGACCCTATCTTATCATAAAACAGTTCATTTTCTCCAGAGGTTTTGCGTTTGGTTGAAGCAGGTCTGGCAGGAAAGTCTGACCCTGATACACAAATATATACATTCCAAACAAAATTTCCTAACACCTTCATGATGCTGTTGTTCAACCTTCATCATTTCTCAAGTTGTGAAACAAAAGAAAGAAAGGATAAAACAGGTTAAAGTATGTTAGAAATTATCAACAACTATCATACTCTTGGATATGATAAGTTTTACCATTAGCTTGGAATTGTGGTACCTTGTGATTGGTCAGAGAAGCCAGTAGCTCTGTAAGAACTGTTTTGCAGATCTGTTCTAAGTTTTCTTTTGTGGTTGTTTCTGTAACTTGTTGATGTCCCCCTTTACCAGTGTAAACCTTTGGTTTTGCATTGTGATGTGAAGGCTTATGACCTTCATCTTGGTGAACCACTGGGGAACTGAATCTGTGTCTGTTTCTGGTCCTGTTCTTTGTTTGAAGGTTAAAGACTCTAAGCTTGCTTTGAAATCTATCTGATTTGAGACGTATTTCCCAAACAAGCTGAGCATATCTGCGAGTTTCCTGCATAGAAAGGTTCTCTATCCTGCAATGCATTGCTACGTCATATCGTACACTTTCATGTAGATTTTGGATGAACAATGGTTTAAAGGTGTGATCTTCTTCGTCAATATCTGGAGAACTGCAGCCCTCAAAATAAACCTGTCTCAAGCGAAAGTAATATTCTCTGGGTGTTTCATGTTCTCCTTGGAGAACTAAAGATGCCTCAAGCGTTGCTAATGCCGGATCTCTGTAACCAGAATATTCTTCTCTTAAGGTTTGACAAAGAGCTGAATAACTTTCTCTGATTTTTGAAGGAAGAGATTTTATGAAAACATGGACGCTTCTAGCTGTTGTTTTCCAAATCAACTTCAATTTCTCACGAGAAGAAGGAAATGGCAAGTCTTTTAGACAGTGCTCAACTTCTTGCAGATAATCAGCTATGTTGGAGTGTTGATTTTCTGGGTCAAAAATATCAATGTCTTTGGCCAAGGATTCAATTTGTTGAATTCTATGGTCACTCGGTGGACCTGGCCCGTCAGGAAGCTGGTTGTGCTCATTAAGTGGTGGGGGGTTTTGAGCTAACCTTTGATGACACAAGGGAGACTGGTTCTCCTCAGAGTTTTTCAAGGTGTGAACTTTGGCACTTGATGCTCGGTCAGCGGAGAGTGAGACAGAGATTGGTTTGCATGGCTGTCCTTTGCAAAATTTTAAACTGCTTGAGTTTATCAAGTGATCTACTTGTTTCTCTCTGTCTGCGACACTACTTTGACTTTGAACATCTTCAGATCTATTTAGTGTTAACTCAGAGTTTAGAGACTTTGTATCTGCTTCAGGAACTGTTCTCCTTTTGACTGGGGTGACCTCCTGCTGACTCAAAGTCTGCTTGCTTTGTTTATTGCACAGCTCCTCCAAGAGGGGGGTCACTGTTTGTTCTGAGGCATGGTCAGTCTGGCCACATGGGTCTTTGATCTTGTCAGCTCCTGACAATAAAATGTTTGCAGCACTTACTCTGTGGCAGATCATCTGATATTTGGCTTCTAACTCAGAGTACTGTTTAGCTTTTATTTGGTATTTAAGCTGATAAAGTAGCGTGAGCTCACAGAGTACATCTGTTATCAGAAAGTTTCCATTTGGGTTTTGAATTAAGTTAATTAATTCTTGAATCTTTTCTTCACATAGGCTGAGGTTAAAATTGTTTAGGTTATCCTGCTTTTCTGAAGATAAGTGGATAAGCTTTGCAACAATTTGTTTCTGTTTCTCTATGCCTATGGAGTCAATTATGTGCCCAGAATTGAGGATGCTTTGATCCATTTTCAGCTGATGGCACAAAAACACAAATTATGAAGAAATTTCAAAAGAACACAATCCAGTCAGTACCCACTATACTTGTATATTTACATATACATATTGTAAGGACTTATTTTTATGTGTGTAGAAACGGGTCACGGATTATCTTTAAACCTGTGATATCAAAGAAACACTTTTCTTTCAGTGTTAGAAATGCTACACCATATTTAGGATTTACCAGCTATTTTAGCGCATGCTTTACCTGTCTCTGAGGATTTATAAGCAGTTTGGCGCAAAGCTTACCTTTTAAGGACTTACAAGCAATTTTGCTTATGCTTCACCCTTTTCTGTGATATCAAAGAAACACTTTTCTTTCAGTGTTAAAAATGCTATACCTTGTTTTAGGATTTATTAGCTATTTTAGCGCATGCTTTACCTGTCTCTGAGGATTTATAAGCAGTTTAATTTGAATCCACCCCCTTTCGGTTGGGTAGGACCACAGATTAACTTACGTTAAATCTGGCAACAAATCTTGTTCTACACAATATAAAATAAGTGTTTAGGAGTCTTATTAGACTAATAGACAGAGGGATTAAGGTTAAATTTCGAGGCATCTAACCTATTTTGGACTGGAAGTGACTTTGAAATAGCATAACTTGGGAGTTTTCATTTTTAGGATGTGGTTATAGAAACCACAAATGGCAGCATCTAGGTATAGATGTGCATAAATTTTGGTCGAACGATAAGACTAACTTGGGAGTTAAATCTTTTAGTTTTAGTTGGACCAAAGTGATCAGATTGATTTGAATCATCTGAGTTTTGCTTTGAAGTAAGGTTGGTTATCACTAGCTGAAGAGATATTTTGGAGTTATTAGATTTAGTTAAATTTTCTATATTTTGATGCTCCAAGAATGTCAAAGGTTATATTTTCTTCTCATATAAGCTAAGACATTTAGTATTGCATTCTTAAGTTGTGAGTTTAAGATTTCATTATTGAGTGGTGAGAGCTGATGTTAATGCTTTCACACGGTTTTCAATCATGCCTCTAAGTTTATTCTCATATATGTGCAGAATGACTGTTATATTCGATGACCACCAAAATGAGACACCAATTAAATGTTACATTCAATGATCCCAGTCGCATGGGACGCTAAATAAATGTTACAATTAATGGGCCCACCCAGGGACGCCATATTTATGTTGTGATTCTATACTTAAATTCTATTCCCAGCCCGCTGGGAATTTATGTTTCTGATACTTTAAGATGTTTATTTCCCTCCCCTGTAGGGGTGGTAAAATATCTTATTTAATCAGATATTATTTCAGCTGTTATATACTGTTTATGACACACAGTCCTACTAACTGTGTGTTAGAACAATAGATGAAAGAGTGATTCGAGCACTAATCATGGTCAAACAGTTATTTCTGCACATACATGGAATAAATTCACCACCACTTCTGTTCAAAATATAAGATTTTATTAACAAAAATCATTCAGCTCCAAGTCAAACGTATTTCAGTTTAACACTCTCAACTAAGACTAGTAAAACTCAACTAAACTAAACTAACTACTATTTACAAAGAGGAAGGGGAAAACGGTTGAAAAACATATTACAGTTTAAGATGGATTCTGTGTTTGAAACCAAAGTTTATCTGGAATAATTTGGAATGTGATCAAATTAGCTTTTCACTAATTTTAAAGAAATTGGAATGTTTTCAGACCAATTGACAATGCAAATCCATGAGGTGAATAAAACATTATTTGGCCAAATAATGTTTTATTAAAGGATTTGCTTAATCAAGAACCAAAAACCTTTAGTTAAATGATTCTTTACCCTCTTTGAAATAGCTAGCAGCGAATAGACATCAGGCTACCACTAAATGACTCTTGGTCAGACTTGGTAATGGAAATGTAATGAGCATTTGAGGAACGCATGAACACTAATGTTCTATCAGTGTTTAAATCCTTAGTGAATAAAGCTTGTCTAAGCTTTAGCAACAGCTCAACACATATTCTTGTAGCATAGCGTAGCATGCAGTCCATTCTTTAGCATCAATTAGCATTGTCTTTACTCGGCAGTAAACACACGATATGATTAGCATCATCAAAAGACACATTGCTTGTTCTGTCCCTAATCATGCCAGACCTGCAAACCTTTTTCCATGTCCGTTTGGAAAGCTTGAGTTTCATCCAGTTTTGCAGCTCTGCAGTCAGGGGTTCTTTGTCTCAGTCTCACAGCAGGGGTCCCCTCAGTCTCAAACCCAGGGCATGGTCTTCATCCAGTTTGGCTCTGTAAGTTCTGAAACTCAAGAGAAATGTGTTGCAAAAGTTCTGTTTGCAGCAGTTAGGTTCTGAAGAGTTCTGACTCATCCTTGATGGTTCTGGGGATCTGGTTTCCCTGGGGCCTGCATCTCCACTGTGGGCCACAGTGGGCCCCAGCTTTGAGCGCAGGAGCAGAAGCAGGCTGGATCAGACGAGGGAGAAAAAGTGAAGAGAGAAGAGGAAGAATCCTGTGTGCTCTGTGGTTTTGTTCTGCCCTCACAGAGGGGGGTAGGTTTTCACACCTCTGTGACTTCCATGTGACTGCTTTGGCTGAAAAAGGGGGGCTGCTGAAGTCCCCCAGCTGTTATTCACCAAAGCTGCGTTTTCTTCTCTGGTCATCCTATCAGGATGAAATATGGACACTGGTTCCCACTGTCCAAAAAGTATGATCATGGCAAATGGCATAACACAAAGTAAAACACTTTGGGGAAAATACTAAATCAAATCTGTTAATCAGTTTGGAGTCACACAGAGCGAATATAGCAGGAAGGACAGACTGGACAAAAACAATCAATGAAAGATTTTAAAAAGCAGAATAGTGGACCTATAATAGGAGCTCAGGAGGACAGGAAATAGTTTTAACTTGTGTGGCACAGAGACAGAAGGTAAAATAGAAGTTCTGCTGCTAAAGTTCACCAGACAAGCTTCATGAGACCAGTGCTATGCCACAGGATGTCTCCAGGCTGCAGCCATGCACTCTGCACCAGGCTGTCTAAGGTCTCCATGTATGTTGAGGCATATTATATCAGGCTAATGCTCACAGGAGCTGCTACTTTATTGGGTAAAAGACAGAGGAAAAGCCTTAAACGCCCCACAGATGGGTGAACAGCTGTTTTTCCCATCAGAAACCTTATTTCTTATCAACGTGATTCTTTTTCTTGCAAAGTTTATAATTAGCAGGATTAAAACAAAGAAGAGGAAAACACCTTTAGACGTCAGACTGTACATGGATACAGTGTCAGACTCAAACATGTACGACCTGACTTTAAAACTCCTATTGATGTTTTACTTCAATAGTCTCCAACATAAAATCCACCTCCCATTTTCACTGTGAGGGATGTGATGTGTTCCAGGTTTCTAACGGCCGTCCTGAGGACCATAAGATCAGACAGGAGGACCTGACCAAGATCTTAGCGGGTGTCCAGAGTGTTCACAGCAAACAGGAGAACATCAACGTCAGACTGGGCACACTCAAGAGGTAAGGAGGCGCAGAAGAACCTGAAATAAACCATTACAGCTTGTATTTCTGCCTAGCAACTGGTCCAGCCAGCGCAAGGATGACACATCACTGCCCTCTTTGGGCTGCACTGGCTTTAGGAAACAAGGTTGCAGTTACATTTGAGAAAAGATTTCGGAAATGTAATGATAAGAATTGTATGAAAAAATCTTACCTGAAAATTAAAATCCAAGCTAAAAGAAAATTTCTTAAGGAATATTTCTTAAGGTTAGATTCTCATTGGTGATGATCTAGAGCTCTGGTTGTTTAACCATCATTATTGATCCCTTTAAGCTCTACATCTAGTCATAAGGTTCTCCTAAACATGGCTACCGGTTTTAGAACATCTGTATCAATTCCTTCCTTTTCCAACCAAAGGGAGTCAGTGCTGCGTACTGGATACTGTCATGATCTGCATACCTTTCTGTTTAGGGAGAACGAGGCTCTGTGGAGGGAAATCTCAGATCTGAGACAGAAACATTCTCACCAACAACAGCTCATTAAAAAGGTGAGAAGTTTATCATCATGGATGGATCCCTTCAACATGGTTATATGTCTCTGCTCTGCATCTCTGGGTTCCAGCATCTCTTAGCTGAGGAGGTCAGGAAAGGTTTGTCTGTTGGTGCATTGCTGAGATAGGACCCTCTGAGATAACTGGGGGGTTTCTAAAAGTTATTCTTAACAGACATGTAGATGAATGAAGGCTGCTGCAGTTCAGCTTTGTTCTCTTCCTATAAACAACTGGAGAACATCTGGTCATTTCACGCTGATGTTCCCAGTTTACCCACACTGGTTTTTTCACTTGCATTTTTCCTTTGATATGTTTAATACTGGAAATTATATTTTCCTTAGATCTTTCCCCATGTAGTTCTCAGTGAGGTTCAGAGGAAACCATGGGACATATCGTCTGAAAAATAAGGCATCTGGATTTGGCACAGAGGAAGTCTTTAACATCCAAACAGTTTTAGCTTAAGCCTCAGTGTTAGCTAGTCTACTGCAGGGTCCTGGTGTGCTCCGGTTGGGGAAACCATCAGCTGACTGCTCACACACCTCCAGCTGATCTTAGTAGATTTATTTCACCTTAATTTCAATTCAGTTTATTTCTATGGCGCCAATTCACAACACATGTCATCCCAAGGCACTCCAGTTCACCAGATCATCCAGTCAGATTCATTCAGTTTTCTATCTAAGGAAAACCAGTTGATTGCATCGACTCAGCAATCCCTCGCACTAAGCATGCTTGTAGCGACAGTGGAGAGGAAAAACTCCCTTTGGACAAGAAGAAACCTCCAGTAGAACCAGGCTCAGTTCGAGCAGCCATCTGCTGAGGCCGACTGGGGTTCAAGGAGACAGAAGCAGACGTAGAAAAAGAAGCATAGATACAAAAGGCAACTGTAAAAGGCGGCCCCGTCCAGGAAACACACAGCCAGGCAGACGAGCTCCGAGCCAGCTCCCATGTCAGAGGATGAAGAGAGCACATCCAGTTAGTCACAGTCAGAGAAACAGGACTACACTGAAAAACAGGCCAATCTCCAACATCTATAAACAAAGGTGTTGATGGCAGCAGCTCAGCTGATATTTCTCTCCAGGATGGAGTCACAGCCAAACAGGAACAGACCAGATGAAGCTACTATGAGAAAAAGCAGAGAGAGCAGAACGTTAGAGATTGAACTAACAGATTCTGCAGAGTGGGAGAATAGAGATAGAATGAAGCAGAATGATGAAATGAGGATCTCTATGTCCTCCAGCAGTCTAAGCCTTTAGCAGCACAGATGGACAACCAAGAACTCATGATAACCTAAGTATTTAGGATGAGGTATAAAAAAGGTAGATCCACAGTGTTCACAGAATATTCATTTATTTCATTAGATGGATTCATTCCACACAGGTTGATGCTGACAAGCCTTCAGTTCTTCTACTGAAATATTCTAAAAAAGGATGAGAACATCACACCAGACCACTACGGGTTATTCCCAAATCTCCTCATAATCTGGCAAGCAAGCCTTAAACACCACCTGTCAGATCAGAGTGTGTAGAACTAGATGTTGCAGATGCTGCTGCTGAGCAATAATCAACTTATTTTCTTCTCTGTTTTGGTTTTTGGCAGCTGATACATTTCCTCATTACACTAGCACAGAGCAACCGTATTCTGAACCTGAAACGGAAAAGGTAAGCACCTCACACACACCAGCAGTGGTGTTTTCATGACTTATGGGGACAATTCATTGACTTGCATTATATGGCCTAACCCAGACCTTTACCCTAACTATTACCTGGGGCGAGTTACATATAGAGGAGCGAGATCATGAAGGGCTTTAAAAAGAAGCGTTAAAACTTTAAAACAAACTGGAAAACGGACCAGGAGCAAGTGCAGGGAGGAGAGGATGGGAGTGATGTGGCTTTGCCTGGATGAGCCAGAGAGCAAACCAACTGCTGCATTCTGTGCTAACTCTAACCGTTGACGACTGTGAGAGGCCAGATTAGAGAGTGTTGCAGTAGTCCAACCGAGAACTAATAAATGCGTGAATCGCCTTCTCCAGGTCTTGCCGTGAGAGAAAGGGTTTCATTTCAGTCAAAAGGCGCAGCTGGAAAAGGCTGGCTTAGACAACAGCATTTATTTATTGTTTGGTGTTGAAGTCCCAGGTCCAAAAGGCGGCTATAGAAAGAGTGCGTGGCATGGGGCAGTATTAGGGAGCAGTGGTAAATATACCTGGACATCATTTGCATAAAATAGGAATGATAAATTGTGTTTGGCAATGATGGACCCAAGTGACAGCATGTAAAGTGAAAACGGGTCCTGGCCAAGGATGGAACCCTGTGGCACCCCAGCTGATAGTGGGGCAGAGGAGGAGGAATAGTCATTGACCATCACAACAAAGCTCCGGTCACTCAGGTAGGACCTGAACCTCTGCAGGAGGAGCTCTGCGTCGTCCATGGTGTTGAATGCCGCAGTTGGATCCAGCATCATCAGCAGCGCTGGTTTCTTTGTATCCAAAGACAGCAGAATGTTGTTGTGAACTTTAAGTAGAGCTGATTCCGTACTGTGAAGAGGCCATATTTGGTATAGTAGCCTTTGTTTGCAGTTTCAGACGTCAAATGTTTCCTGTAGTTTTTCACCAGGTTTGCGGCCACTGCTGGAGGGATTTTGGCCTCCACACAGATATTCCTTTATATCAGTCAGGTTTGTGGGCCGTCGCTGACAAACATGGAGTATGAGCTCCCTCCAAAGATTCTTTATTGGGTTTAGGTCTGGAGACTGGCTAGGCCACGCCAGAACCTCGATCTGCTTCTTCCAGAGCCGCTCCTTGGTTATCCTGGCTGTGTGCTTCAGGTCATTGTGATGCTGGAAGACCCAGCCTCCACCCCTCTTTAATGCTCTAACTGAAGGAAGGAGCTTGTTCCCCAAAATCTGGCAATACATGGACCAAGTCATCCTCTCCTTAATACAGTGCAGTTGCCCTGTCCCATGTGCGGAAAACACCCCCAAACCATGATGTTCCCGCCCCCAGGCTTCACAGTAGGGATGGTGTTCTTGGGATGGTTCTCATCGTTCTTCCTCCTCCAAACAAGGTTATTGGAATTATGACCAAAAAGTTCTATTTTGGTCTCATCTGACCACATGACTTTCTACCATGACTCCTCTGGATCATCCAAATGGTCAATGGCAAACTTAACACGGGCCTTGACATGTGCTGAGACATTGTGCTCCATGCCACACAATTGATTTCAAAACCATGACATCTTAGTGTATTGCCAACAGTAACCATAGAAATTGTGATCCCAGATCTTTTCAGATCATTGACCAGCCCCTCCCATGTAGTTCTGGGCTGATTTCTCGCCTTTTTTTTAGCATCATTGAGACCCCAGCAGGTGAGATATTGCATGGAGCTCCACTCTGAGGAGATAGACAGTAATTTTTAGCTTCTTCCATTTTCTAACGATTGCTCCAACAGTGATCTTTTTTTCACCCAGCTGCTTGGTTATTTCCCCATAGCCCTTTCCAGCCTTCTGGACGTGTAAAAAGTAGCCTCTATTGTCTTTGGGCAGCTCTTTGGTGTTGGCCATGTTAGTTGCCTTTATGCAGCTAACAGCCTCTAACAGGTGCATCTAATTTAGGATAATGAATAAGGGTCAGAATTCTAGACGGGTGTTCAAATACTTAGTTATAAAAAAAAATAATTGTGATTCCTGTGTTGCTTTTTAGATTATATCTCTCACAGTGGATAGCACCTAGGATGACCATTTCAGTGGGAGAACTTGCTAAATATCTTATTTTCCTCATGTATAAACCATTACAGGGTCAACCACCGTGAAGAAAACCTTCTATTTGCACTTATGTCCAAATGTATTTTTTTCAGATCAATTCTGATGGACAGTGAGAAGAAGGCCAAATACATCCATGAGATTTATGATGATCCGGTGCGCGTTGAACAGGTCAGTTTGTTTCTGCTCATGAGCATTGGAGACGTACAGGAGCGTCTGACCGCTGTAAGGACGTCACCTCTTGCTCTTCACACCAGAACCTTCTTAGCTGGAGCAGAGCTCTATAAGCTTACCGTGCAGGGAGCAGGACTGGAGTCAAAATGGGAGCAAACATCCAATAATATCTCCAGTAGTTTATTCTACTGATTCCATACTTTAAAGATGATTTATTCCTTAGACTGCCGCTCTTAAGGGTTTAAAGGAGCAACACGGGACAATACCTGAGATATCACATTACAGGTTGTTATTGAATCTAGGGCTGCAACTAACAATCACCTTTCTAATCTATTAAGTGGTTTTACTTTCTATGCAAAATATCTATTATTATTATATATATATATATATTTATATATATATATATATTTATATATATATATATATATACATTTTTTGATATATATATATTTTTTAGAATTTTGTTATAATTGCAGGTCTAAGGTTTTTAAAGTCTTTATTCTCCATTTAACAAATTAATTATTTACTGAATGAGTTAATTGAATAATCAGTCCGATAGATTTTTTTCAGCCCTATTTTAATATTAATTCTCAGTCACTGAATGAGTTTGCATAATTTTCCTACAGGACCGCAAAGTAGAAATGAGTCTAAGGAGAATTAGTGACTGGTGATGACACTGGGGCTGATCTGCAGCTCTTACTGATGCGTCCTCCTCAGGCCACAGACTTTAATGAGTGGAGGGATGATCACTGTCACGCTATCACAGGTCAAGATCAACATAAGCCTATATAATCATGTGACACAGGGAGTTCAGTCCTTATCATTTTCTCGTGCCACTTTTGTGGTAAGCGGTTCTATGGACGTGTTTCTATTTGTCTTTCCGCTTCCTGGATCAAGCTGCAAGGATCAGTCTATTCTACCCACAGATATCATCAGCATTGATGAGTCTGCTTTTTTTATTTACCTGACAGCTGAAGCCGGTGGCGTTTTCTGCATGTGCTGAGTTTAGTTGGCTCCTTGCCACAGCTGTGCGCTTTATTTTGTACATCGCTGGTGGCGTTTTCGCCTTTGCTGAGTTTGTTTTCTTTGGTTACGAGCTATGGGGCCAAAATGGTAGCTTTAATATTTGCAAATGTGTGTGGAGAGTTGTGTGTCTGTATCTCGATTTGTGTGTGTGCAGTGGGATTTGAAAATGTGTAAATAAATCTGTAAATGTGTGAGGAGATTTGTGTGTCTGTACAAAAATCTGCAAATGTGTAAAACTACTTGTGTGTAATCCGTTTTGCAAATGTGTAAAAAAATCCACAAATCTGTATTCAGATCTGCAAATGTGTACTGAGATTTGCAAATGTGTAAAAAATCCACAAATCTGTATTCAGATCTGCAAATGTGTACTGAGATTTGCAAATGTGTAAAAAATCCACAAATCTGTATTCAGATCTGCAAATGTGTACTGAGATTTGCAAATGTGTAAAAAATCCACAAATCTGTATTCAGATCTGCAAATGTGTACTGAGATTTGCAAATGTGTAAAAAATCCACAAATCTGTATTCAGATCTGCAAATGTGTACTGAGATTTGCAAATGTGTAAAAAATCCACAAATCTGTATTCAGATCTGCAAATGTGTACTGAGACTTGCAAATGTGTAAAAAATCCACAAATCTGTATTCAGATCTGCAAATGTGTACTGAGATTTGCAAATGTGTAAAAAATCCACAAATCTGTATTCAGATCTGCAAATGTGTACTGAGACTTGCAAATGTGTAGATCAATCTGTAAGCACACACAGAGACACTTGTGTCTGAAGTATTTTCGCTTCAAGACCCAGAAATACAGACAAATCATTGGTTACAAGTCAAGCGGTTTTTCGGTTGGCTCTCTTTACACACGTGATTTTTGCTACTCTTCTGCCGCATGAGATGCACAAATGCGTAGAAGGATTTGTATGTGTATTTTCGCGATTTGTAACCCCTTGCGCAGGCTCACATGCTGCCCTGACCACAGGCTCACAGACAGCCTCTACCTTTTTTTTTTTCCTCCGCTGCGGGAGTTGACGTGACAAGGATGATATATTGATACCATTCAGTAAGGAAAATATTTAATCTATTATTAAACAAAAGGTTACGGAAAGATGGCAGAAGCTGTGGGAAGAGCATAGAACTGGAAGTTGGCTTTATAGTATTCAAAGGAAAATTGGTGAAATGAGGAGAACGGAAAGGAATAAAAAAGAGGTTATATCTAGATTAAGTTTCGGAAACACGGGGTTAAATGGAAACTTATTTAGAATGGGAACAGGAGGTTGTGGTTTTTGTTATCAAGGGGAGACGGTGGAGCATGTTTTGTTGTTTTGTTATAAATATTCTATGGAGAGAAGGGTTACAAGAAAATAAATTACAGTTAAATATACAAGATATTTTGGGGAAAAAAAATCTACTTATGATTATTTTTGTAATTTGATAAACAATCTTGAAAAAACGAAATTGGTAGAAAGGATATAAGTTTATTTATGTAAATATTGTTAATATTTATTTTTATTTTTCAGTGGGAAAATACATAGCATCCCGATCCACACTCCACTGAAGTAGATGGTGGTAATGCACATCATAAAGTTGCTTGCCAGCCGCCATAAAACAGAAGCAGAAGAAGAAGAAACAGTTTTACTAATGCAAACTATAGAAAAAATTAAAGAAATATACTTACAGAAAGCTGACGGGATTCCATTGCTCTCAACTTAGCAGGTACAACCCCTAGGACCCCAGTAACGTCACGTACTGTACAATACCACCAACTGGTGGTATGTGGCTGTATGTGAAGCAAGTTGTGCTGAACTGTCGCAGCAGAGAGAGGCTGTCTGTGAGCCTGCGGTCAGGGCAGCATGTGAGCCTGCGAGCCTGCGCAAGGGGTTACAAATCGCGAAAATACACATACAAATCCTTCTACGCATTTGTGCATCTAATGCGGCAGAAGAGTAGCAAAAATCACATGTGTAAAGAGAGCCAACCGAAAAACCGCTTGACTTGTAACCAATGATTTGTCTGTATTTCTGGGTCTTGAAGCGAAAATACTTCAGACACAAGTGTCTCTGTGTGTGCTTACAGATTGATCTACACATTTGCAAGTCTCAGTACACATTTGCAGATCTGAATACAGATTTGTGGATTTTTTACACATTTGCAAAACGGATTACACACAAGTAGTTTTACACATTTGCAGATTGTTGTACAGACACACAAATCTCCTCACACATTTACAGATTTATTTACACATTTTCAAATCCCACTGCACACACACAAATCGAGATACAGACACACAACTCTCCACACACATTTGCAAATATTAAAGCTACCATTTTGGCCCCATAACGAGCAGCTTAATTGCTGTGCGTTTTCATATTGTTTCTTGCCAGGGGGGTTTTCTGCCGTGTTGAGTGGACTGGGTTACGCAGTTAACAGAGAACCTGAAGAATGACGACACTAATGGCCGTTAAGGTTTAACAGCTTGTTATTATGACGACTGGGGATGGTCCTGCTAGTGGCGTGATAATGTGACTGTGTTCGTCTCTCCTCTCCTCTGAAATTAACCATTATTTTTCTATTTGATCAATCTGTTTATTATTTTTTCACTTAATTAATAATTGGATAGCCAAAGATTCCTTAAAGAAGATTTTGTACAAAATTTAACCATATGAAACTAAAACTTGTTCTGGATAGAGCTTATTGACAGACGGAAAAGTTTTTTTATCTTTTTTTTGTTTTGTTTTTTTTAGCGGCACTAGTGGTTTGTTTTTTCGACAGCAGGCTGACAGGGAAGGAGAGACGTGCAGCAAAGGACCACAGGCTGGATTCGAACCCCGGTCTGCCGCACCTGAACACCGGTTTTTTTATTTTTATCCTAAATGCAAATTGTTTACTTATTTTTTTAACAATCGTTGTGTAGTTGATTCTCAAGATGGGTCCCTCTGACAGCTAAAGGCAGGCTTAGCGTCTCTATACTCCAACTAACTAATCCATTACTGAATTAATTGAAGATTATTTTAATTATCGATTAATCCTGATTAATCTAATTAATAGTTTCAGCTCGAGCCCCAAAGCTTCAGCAACGGTTCGGTTCTGTTTGGTTCTGAGGTTTTTCTGAGGTGCATACAGAACATTGGCGTCAGCTCTATTAGGAGCCGCCATGAGATCTTCTTCTATGGTGTAGAAAAGTTGCTTCTGGTTCCATTGTCCTGTTTCTTTGCTCCGTTTAGACGTCTGTCAGCAGTCTGCACCAGGTGAAGCGCTCTGATGATGATGTGACTGTCTACGACCTGACTAAAAACGATGAAGACGCGAGCTCAGAGATGGAATCTTCTCAGGACAGGTGAGCTGCTCTAACACGCTCTGCTTTGGAGCTGTTCGTAGTTGCAGGAGGAGACTTTAAGAGGGGGGGGGGGTATTGTTGACAGTCCATCACAGGGTAACAAAGGCTCTCAAAATGGTATTGCTGCCCTATTTGTTGGTACTGGCCGATACCGATACCACCATTTTAGTGCTGAATCGGGGCCCCGCCCTGTACTGGTATCGCTATCGGTGCCACACTAGTTATGACCATTTGATATTCCTGTTTTTATTTTTTATATATTTGCAAAAGTTTCTACTTTTCTGGGATTTTTTTCTGTCAAGATGGGATGTGGAGTGTATGTTAATGAGAAATAAAATGAACTTTATTGATTTTAGCAAAAGGCAGCAAAGAACAGATTAAAAAACAATTAAAAGGTCTAAATACTTTTCACTGGAATCAGTGAACTTACTGTTAGCTTTGTTTTGTGTCTTTTTTTAGTGATATAGAAATAGTGGAGGTAGAAATGAACAGCTCTGGAGATCTACCAGCACAGATGGAGGTCAGCTCTACCTGCAAGGAGGACGTCCAGCAGGTAGAGGGTGGAGCAGCAGCTGTGAAGCAGAGAAGCAGCAGTGCTCTTCAGCTGAATGCTCCCTCTGCTCTGAGGGCTGAGGATCCAGTGAAGATGATGGACTCCATGATGAATGAGAATGGAGCAATTTCACAAAACATCAGCCTGCTTGGCAAGTAAGAGTCAACCTGAACAGTTAGTTATTGAACAGAACCTCTCTTCATCGACAAAGAAGCAGAAAGCTGGATGTGATAGAGGTGTTTGGGGGAGGGGAGCATCAGTAGATACGTAGAATAATGGAACAACCCTTTTAAATGCAGAGCAGGTTCTTCAGAACAGCAGTCCATAAATAAGGACAAAAGGTGTTCAAAAATTGAAAAAAAAACTTTCATTTGAGAGTGTCAAAAATAATTAACAAACAACAAACAACTTGATTAGATGACTGGAGTCTGGTGAGCTATTGCTTGGTTGGAAAGAAACCTGCAGCCACACGGCCCTTTCAGGAACAAGTGTTACACCTGTGCACTAGGCCATCCCTCCTCTCTGGAAAACTATGATTAAACCATGTTTATCTGCATTTTAGTTATTTATTTCTTTTAGATGAAGCACTATATACCATTATGTTAACATGAAAGGAAAAATAAAACTCAAAAAGGTTGGGTTTAAATCCAAAGCTGAAAAGTTAGCTCCATTTGGGAGAAGAGCCTGCTCACAAAGCATTCTGGGAAATATCTGCTTGTCTAGTGACTGTTGATGATTACTACTTTTCAAGGTGCATTGTGGGAAATTTCCACTCCACTACTCTGTCATCCATTCAGACACTCATCTAAAATGGAGTAATCACCATATAGTGCCCTATTTAGTGATTAGGACGGACGTTCGAACACAGCCAACATTTCCAGAAGTTGGTAATTACCCATAATCCTCAGCTCCTATACAGCAGAGGAAACCTGCTATACCGAGGATAACCTCTCATATCTGTGAGGAAAACCTTTGGGCTTATAATACTGGATGGATGCTCCTGGAGAAGCAGGAGCCACCAGGGTTCTCTCCTCCAATGCTGTCCTCTAAGTAGAGATCCCCATTCATGGGACGCCTGAACATGCTTGACGGAGCTCTATTTCTGTGTGTCTCACCAGGGTGGAGCTCATGGACTATCTGGACAGCATAGATTGCAGTCTGGAGGACTTCCAGGCCATGCTGTTTGAGAAGCAGCACGGTCTGGATTATGAAGCTGCAGAGGTACCGGCACCCAGCCCTCACTGCACCCACAGCGCCACCTGGAACAGGGAGCTAACGTACATGGAACAGTGTCGGCAATGGCCTGTTAGAATACTGATAGTGGTTGTTATTGATCATCTGTTCTTAGTTATTGGTAGTTAATGCAAGTTATTGATTATTGTTAGTTATTGGTAGTTAATGGAAGTTATTGATTATCTGTTGTTAGTTATTGGTAGTTAATGAAAGTTATTCATTATTGTTAGTTATTGATGGTTAATGGAAGTTATTCATTATTGTTAGTTATTGATGGTTAATGAAAGTTATTGATTATTGTTAGTTGTTGATGGTTAATGGAAGTTATTCATTACTGTTAGTTATTGGTAGTTAATGGAAGTTATTCATTATTGTTAGTTGTTGATGGTTAATGGAAGTTATTCATTATTGTTAGTTATTGATGGTTAATGAAAGTTATTCATTATTGTTAGTTATTGGTAGTTAATAGAAGTCATTGATTATTGTTAGTTATTGGTAGTTAATGGAAGTTATTGATTGTTGTTAGTTATTGGTAGTTAATGGAAGTTATTGATTATTGTTAGTTATTGGTACTTAATGGAAGTTATTGATTATTGTTAGTTATTGGTAGTTAATGAAAGTTATTCATTATTGTTAGTTATTGGTAGTTAATGGAAGTTATTGATTATTGTTAGTTATTGGTAGTTAATGGAAGTTATTGATTGTTGTTAGTTATTGGTAGTTAATGAAAGTTATTCATTATTGTTAGTTATTGGTAGTTAATGGAAGTTATTGATTATTGTTAGTTATTGGTAGTTAATGGAAGTTATTGATTATCTGTTGTTAGTTATTGGTAGTTAATGAAAGTTATTCATTATTGTTAGTTATTGATGGTTAATGGAAGTTATTCATTATTGTTAGTTATTGATGGTTAATGAAAGTTATTGATTATTGTTAGTTGTTGATGGTTAATGGAAGTTATTCATTACTGTTAGTTATTGGTAGTTAATGGAAGTTATTCATTATTGTTAGTTGTTGATGGTTAATGGAAGTTATTCATTATTGTTAGTTATTGATGGTTAATGAAAGTTATTCATTATTGTTAGTTATTGGTAGTTAATAGAAGTCATTGATTATTGTTAGTTATTGGTAGTTAATGGAAGTTATTGATTGTTGTTAGTTATTGGTAGTTAATGGAAGTTATTGATTATTGTTAGTTATTGGTAGTTAATGGAAGTTATTGATTATTGTTAGTTATTGGTAGTTAATGAAAGTTATTCATTATTGTTAGTTATTGGTAGTTAATGGAAGTTATTGATTATTGTTAGTTATTGGTAGTTAATGGAAGTTATTGATTGTTGTTAGTTATTGGTAGTTAATGGAAGTTATTGATTATTGTTAGTTATTGATGGTTAATGAAAGTTATTCATTATTGTTAGTTATTGATGGTTAATGAAAGTTATTCATTATTGTTAGTTATTGATGGTTAATGGAAGTTATTCATTATTGTTAGTTATTGATGGTTAATGAAAGTTATTCATTATTGTTAGTTATTGGTAGTTAATGAAAGTTATTATTGTTAGTTATTGATGGTTAATGAAAGTTATTCATTATTGTTAGTTATTGGTAGTTAATGGAATTTATTGATAGTTGTTAGTTATTGGTAGTTAATAAAAGTTATTCATTATTGTTTCTTATTGGTAGTTAATAGAAGTCATTGATTATTGTTAGTTATTGGTAGTTAATGGAAGTTATTGATTGTTGTTAGTTATTGGTAGTTAATGGAAGTTATTGATTATTGTTAGTTATTGGTAGTTAATGGAAGTTATTGATTGTTGTTAGTTATTGGTAGTTAATGGAAGTTATTGATTATTGTTAGTTATTGGTAGTTAATGGAAGTTATTGATTATTATTAGTTATTGATGGTTAATGAAAGTTATTCATTATTGTTAGTTATTGATGGTTAATGAAAGTTATTCATTATTGTTAGTTATTGATGGTTAATGAAAGTTATTCATTATTGTTAGTTATTGATGGTTAATGAAAGTTATTCATTATTGTTAGTTATTGATGGTTAATGAAAGTTATTCATTATTGTTAGTTATTGATGGTTAATGGAAGTTATTCATTATTGTTAGTTATTGATGGTTAATGAAAGTTATTCATTATTGTTAGTTATTGATGGTTAATGAAAGTTATTCATTATTGTTAGTTATTGGTAGTTAATGAAAGTTATTATTGTTAGTTATTGATGGTTAATGAAAGTTATTCATTATTGTTAGTTATTGGTAGTTAATGGAATTTATTGATAGTTGTTAGTTATTGGTAGTTAATAAAAGTTATTCATTATTGTTTCTTATTGGTAGTTAATAGAAGTCATTGATTATTGTTAGTTATTGGTAGTTAATGGAAGTTATTGATTGTTGTTAGTTATTGGTAGTTAATGGAAGTTATTGATTATTGTTAGTTATTGGTAGTTAATGGAAGTTATTGATTGTTGTTAGTTATTGGTAGTTAATGGAAGTTATTGATTGTTGTTAGTTATTGGTAGTTAATGGAAGTTATTGATTATTGTTAGTTATTGGTAGTTAATGGAAGTTATTGATTGTTGTTAGTTATTGGTAGTTAATGCAAGTTATTCATTATTGTTAGTTATTGATGGTTAATGGAAGTTTTTGATTATCTGTTGGTAGTTATTGGAGGTTAATATATTCTTCAATATTATCTATGGCTATGTTCCTGCTATTAAAATCAAATCCATTCTCCTATTTGCCTTTATCATTAAAGCAGCTGTCTTGTGTTTTCCTTATAATTTCTGTGTTTTTCTAGGAAAGCGTGTCAAGAAAAGAGAATATTACCCGGCTAACTAAAGCCAGGCCAGAACAGGACGATGGAACTGGTAAGCTTTAAGGACATGGAAATTTCCAAGTCCGAGCGTGGGACTACTCCCCCTTCAGATAAAGAGATTGTGGAGCAGGTCAGGCTTCCTAACCTGTGCTGTCTGTCCCCAGACAAACAGCTGATCCAGTACACCTCCTCTCCACTGCTGGCCTTCCTGGATGGCTGTGTCCCTCCATCAGAGGTGGAGCTTAGCACTGCTAGCCCTGCAGACACCGGCTGCTCCCGTCCACAGCTTTCCTCCAGTTCTGGAACATCAGCGGCAGCCGAACCGCCCATATGCCTGCTGGATGCCAGCTTAGAGCCCCACGTGCCCCCCCGCAGCTCCTTGATTCGCCTGGAGCCATTGACCGAGGAGGAGGCCAGCGAAGAGACGCTCTTCTACCTGTGTGAACTGAGTCCTGCTGAGCCTAACCCCACGCAGCTGAGTGGGGTTTAGATTTGGACAGAGAACCTGACCCTCTGTGGACGTTTCAGAGATGCAGCCATTCCTAAAGGATTTTTACTGCAAGGAAAAATGTTGACCTTAAAATAAATGTTAAATGAATACAAAGTGTTGCCTAGAATGCTCATTTCTTTGCTTTGATCAAGTAGAGGAAGATGAAAATGGAGTCGTGTTGATTTCAAGCAGCAGATCAGCTGCAGCCGCCCCACAGACAGAACAGCCCAATGTCTTTGAATGAGCGGAATTTAACGCTACATCCTGAAGGTCCTGGAGGTCTGCCGTCCTGCAGCTGTTCAGGCTGCCGCTCTCACTTATCCTGCCATACTTCTTTCTTCCACTCATCTTTCTAACTGCAGTATGGCTCGTTGTGAATATATCTAAGTGTAGCTCCTGCTCCTTTCATGGAGTGGAAATATCCAGGGTAGAACTGCTGTGCTGAATCTAGACAGCCCTCAGCCTGACATACATCACAACGCTTTGCATACACATGAATGTTTGAATCAGGGTCACAGCCGTCCTTCAAGAACTAGATAACAGATTTATACTGAAGAAATAAAGTGTTGGGTTAAACGCCGTGAGGTGGGCTGTACCTATGACTGCCCCAGAGGCTGGAGCCGGTCTGGGTCCATTCCTCTCCATGCTGGATAGAGAACAGCAGCACAGCTGGAGCTCCAGTGCAGCTGTTCACTCAGCCATAGGTTCTCTAACAGCACCTTTTTAGGTAACTCCCTGTAAAGAAGAGCCATTAAATTGAGTTTATGGGTGGTAAAATTACAATATTTCACATTATTTTACCTGAAATATTTCACCCTGTAAGTGATTTATTTGTTAATATTAAATAAAGGAAAATATTAAGAAGTTAAATGACTGAATTTTTATGGATCAAATGCAAAGTAAGTGAGTTATAAGTTGTGATTTTAGTGTCTGTGAAGACCTGCATGGTTCAGAGGCCTGATTAACAAAGTAGGTTTACTGAAAACTAAGTTTACTGAAAACCCAAAATCAGGGAAACTGATGAGAGTTCTCCATTTCACAAAGAGTTTCCTCAACCTCCGTTTCTGTTACCATGGTAATATTCAAGGTTGCAGGTTGTCTGTGGGTTGGAGGCTCTCTGTGGGTTTTTTCAAACAGGAGAACAACTTGCAACCGGCCACCTTTAACACATTTTCTCATGACTGGATACACCTGGCTATGAAGTTCAAATCTTAATGAAGAAACCAAAGTCAGTGAAGTGTAGTTAATGGTATTCAAATCAATAAAATGATTAGGGTGCCCACATTTGTGCACCAGTCAAGTTTTGTTTTAATGTGTTCTGAACATTTTCTGTTTGTCCAATAAACCTGAATTCAGTGCTGATATATTACTGAGTCCATCAGGTATTAGATATATCACACTGAAATAGCTGTTGCAAACACCCAAATATATAGGAATAAAAATAATTAAGATTAATAGGGGTGCTCAAACTTTTACATATATGTGTAGCATGTCTTTTGGACGAGGATCCAATCCAAAGAATGAGCGACGTTAATTCACAGAGAATAAAATATTTATAGGGAGATTCTCAGAGCGTGTAAAGATGTCCTTTATATCCAGAAATGTATCTTTATGAGCGCTGCCGTTTCACCTCACAGACATTATCCTTCCTTAGCAGCATTACACAGACTTCTTTAATAGGACTAATTAATAACAGAGAAAACATTGATGTGTTACATTATAGAAAAACAACCGCACAGACAGCCAGTTAGTATTTCCTCTGTGATGGAAGAGAGGATCAGCATGAGGAGGAACCCAAGAGATGATGAGCAGGTCCTACCTGTTATAACAATGTTCTTAGACTTAGTGTATCCCTCCACCACTTTCTCTGTGTGCAGAATTATTAGGAAAGTTGTATTTTTGAGGATTGTTTTTATTATTGGGCCACAATTGTGTTCTCAACCTTAAAATCAAAATTTCATATTTTTGGAAGTTTATATGTTTTTTTTAGATTTGGCCTTTTTATGAGGATGTCTGTGTGCGCAGGTAAATATTACTGGGCAGAACTTTTAGGCAACGTAATAAAAAATATATATCCATCTCACTTGTTTATTTTCACAAGGTAAACCAATATAACTCAAAATTCAGAAATAAACGTCATCCAAAAAAAAAAAAAACACAAACAAACAAATCACCTTTCTTCACTATGACACTCAAAAGCCTTCCATCCATAGATTCTGTCAGCGTCTTGATCTGTTTGCGATCCACATTGTGTGCAGCAGCCTCCACAGCCTCCCAGACACTGTTCTGCCGCCCTGTAGATCTCACCTTTCATGAAGGACCACAGGTTCTCCATGGGGTTCAGATCATGTGAACAAGGGCGCCATGTCATTATTTTTTCTCCTTTTACACTTTTTTCTGGCCAGCGACGCTGTGGTGTATTTTGATGTGTGTGACGGAGCATCGTCCTGCATGAATATCAGGTTTTTCTTGAATGATGGCGACTTCTTCTTGTACCACTGTTTGAAGAAGGTGTCTTCCAGAAACTGGCAGTAGGTCTGGGAGTTGATCTTCACTCCATCATCAACCCACAAGCTCATCTTTGATGATAGTAGCCCATAGCACTACCCCACCTCCACCTTGCTGGCATCTGAGTGGATAAGGAACTGGCTGCCCTTTACTGATCCAGCCTGGTGCCCATCCATCCATCTGACCCATCAACACTCACTGTCATTTCATCAGACCAAAACACCTTGGAGGAATCAGTCTGCAGACATTTTTTGGCCCAATCTTCACGTTTTGTCTTATGTGTCTTGTTCAAAGGTGGCCTTCTTTCTGCTTTCCTTACCTTGGCCAGGTCCCTGACTATTGAACACCTTGTTCTTCTCGGGACACTACAGACATGTTGCAGCTCTGAAATATGGTACAACTGGTGGCTAATGGCAGCTTCAAGCTTCATCCCTCTTAATTCATGGGGAGTTATTTTGCGGCTTCTTTTTTCAACACGCTTCTTGCGCCCCTGTTGGCTGTTTGACATGAACCACTTGATTGTGCGATGAAAAGTTTGGCAATTTCCAAACTGCTGCTCTGAAAGATATCTGACAATTCTTGACTTTTCAGAGTCTGTTAAATCTCTTTTCTGACCCATATTGCCAAAGCAAATGAAGGTGTCTAATAATTAAGCGCACCTTATTTTTACCTTATTTCTGATAGCAAGAAGTAGCTAGCCTAGGCTAGCGCTAGCTTAGCATTGCTATGGCTTCTCTCTCTCCCTCCCTTGACTCTTTTCCAACTCTTCCTTCTTCCTCTCCTCTCTCCTGCTCTCTGTGTCAGATGTTCAGTTATTCCTCTGCCTCCTTTAGTGATAATGGGATGTGTAATAAGTGTAGTATTTTTGTAGCTTTGGAGGCGAGGGTGTCAGAGTTAGAATCCAGGCTTCAGGCTGTTGAAGTAGGCCCCCACGTAGCTGTCCTCCAAAAGTGCCTGAGCAGCCAGGCGATTGGGTAACTGTACGCAGAAAGCGTAGTCGTGGATCTCTGCCCACTGGTCACCACCAACCCGTTCACGTTTCTAACCGGTTTTCCCACTCAGTGACAGACCCCCCCCCCCCCAAAAAAAAAAACCCCTTTTTAAAAACCCCCCTTTTTTAAACCCCCCTTTTTTTTGGGGCCCCCTTTTTTTTTTAAAAATTTTTTAAAAATTCCCTTTTTTTTTTTAAAAAAGGGGGCCCTTATTTAAAAAACCCCCCCCCCTTTTAAAAAAAAAGGGGTTTAAGGTTTAAATTTTTTTTTAAAGGGGGCCTTTTTTTTTCCAATTTTTCCCCCGGGGGGGGTTTAATTTCCCCTTTTCCCCGGAAAAAGGGTTTTAAAATTTGGGGTTTTTTTTTCCGGGTTTTTTCCCCTTTTTTAAAAAAAAATTTTTTTGGGTTTTTTTTCCCTTTAAACCTTTGGCCTAAAAACCCCGGGTTTTTTTTTTTTTAAATTTACCCCCGGTTATACCCCCCTTTTTTTTTCCCCCCCCTTTTTTTTCCCTTTTACCCTTTTAACCTTTCCCTTTCCCCCTTTTTTTTTAAAAAAATTTTTTTGGGGGGGAAAAAATTTTTTTTTAAAATTTTTTAAAATTTTTTTTAAAAATTTTAAATTTTTTTTTTTAAAAAAATTAACCCCCCCCCCCTTTTTTTTCCCCAAAACCCCCCGGGTTTTTTAAAATTTACCCCCAATTTTAATTTTTTCCCAAAACTCCCCCCTTTCCTTTTAAAAATTTTCCCCTTTAAAAGGAAAACCCCAACCCCCCCCCCAAATTTTTTTTTTTAAAAATCAAAAAAAAATTTTTTCCCTTTTTTTTCCCCCCCCCTTTTTTTTTTTGGGGGGTTAAAAAAAAAAATTTTTTTTTTAAAAAAAACCCCCTTCCCCCCAAAAAAAAAATTTTTCCCCCCCCGGGCCCCAAAAAAACCCCAAATTTTTTTTCCCCCCCCCCCTTTTTAAAAATTTTTAAAAAAATTTTTTCCCCTTGTTTTTTGGGGGGGTTTAAAAAAAAATTTTTTCCCCCCTTTTTTTTTTTTTTTCCCCGGGGGTTTAAATTCCCAAAAAAAAATTTTTTTTTAAAAAAAAAAATTTTTTCCCTTAAAAAAAACCCCAAAAACCCAAAAAAAATTTTTAAAAAAAATTTAAATTTTTTTTTTTTTAAAAAAAAAAACCCCCCCCCCCCCCCAAAAAAATTAATAAAAAAACCCCAAAAAAAAAAAAAAAAAAAAAACCCCCCAAAAAGGGAAAAAAAAAAAAAAATTTTTTCCCAAAAGTTTTTTAAAAAATAAAAAAATTTTTTTAAAACCCCTTTTTTTTGGGTTCCCCAAAAAATAAAAAAAAAATTTTTTAAAAAAACCCCCCCCCCAAAAAAAAAAAAGGGGGGGGGGGGTTTCCAAAATTTTTTTTTTTTTCCCAAAAATTTTTTCCTTTTTTAAAATTTAAAAAGGGAAAAACCCCCTTTAAAAAAACCTTTTTTTGGGGATTTTTTCCCCCTTTTTTTTTTTTTTGGTTTTAAAAAAATTTTTTTTTTAAAAAAAAAATTTGGGGAAAAAAAATTTTCCCCGGAACCAAAAAAAACCCCCTTTTAAAAACCCAAAAAAATTTTTTGAA